ACTATGTGTCATTTCTCCTTGCTTAGAGGACAGCATAACTAAAAAATGGCTCAACTTACCCCACTCTCCCCTATCATCAGATTTACAGACAAGGATTATTGTAATTATTAAGATTTCGCAAAGCTTTATACATATCTTTTTGATGCTGTGAGGTAACACTCAATTTTACTTATTTGAAGTTGTTTTGACAGTAAATTCTAACATCTCTTGGAATCAACAACTGAGACAAAAACACCTCAGATACTTCAATACAAAAAAAAAATGTCCCTCCTATAATTTACTTCTTTTGTCAAATGTTTTCTTCCAAGTCTAAAAGCCTCATTTTACTTGTTTTTTTTCACATTTGTTTCAACTGTGCATTTAAAGATTATCAGGTAGAGTGAAGAATGTATTAAGCTTAAAACCAATGGTGGTACCAAAGCCATAGATTTGTGAGCTTAAGTTAAACAGCTGAAAGTATTGAAGCATAGCAGATGACAGATGTTGTTGGCTAGTTGACGATAAACATTAAGGCTTTCAAAGTGCAGGGATTATATCTGCCCCGAGTGGTATTGGTATAAATGAGGATTTCTGGTGTCATGATTGACAGATTTCAAATGCGACTCCTGAATTAAAGCTGTGAAATTAAGTTTGTGTTATGAACTCAGGATGTAGGACTCAATTGCACGACCCAGGAGACAGAGGTGAAGTATTGGTAAGATACTTCATTTTTCCACAAAAAAAGCAAGATGAACAAAAGATGATCACTATCGAATCTCAAGTTAAGATGACAAAAAATGAGAACAAAATGAAATCGCTCGCATAGTGAGGAACAAAACTTTTCAAGAGCACAAAGAGAGCATAGACCTGACCATGGCAAGAGACCAGACGAACTGACACTGAACACTGGGAGACAGGGGAATTTAAACACAGGATAACAAGACACAGGTGGGGACAATCAGGGGCGGGGCTGGTGATGATGATCACAGGAGACACACAAGGGAAACAGGTGAACACAATCAAACAATTAGACACACCAGGGAAACTAATGACAGGGAGGAAAACACAGGGAGAAGAACCAGACAATACACAAGGAGGAAAACATGACAGGGAGAACAGAACAGCAAAACACCCATTACCAGACACACCAAACTAAAACCGTGACATGACATAAGAATCGTGACAGTTTGTTTCAATCCGAGCATATAACATATTTGAAGGCCCCTTTATTAACACTGCAGGATGCTTCCATATTGAATTGAAAATCCATCTATTAAGCCCGCACAATCAGCAAACTGTCCATTCATATCTTGAATGTTTAATTTAAAGCATTACACTTATTGGTACATCTTTTGGTTAAAGTATTTGATCACATTTAGATTTTTCATTATATATTTTGGCCTGATTGTGGCGCTAGAAGACGGACTAGGAGGTCACACAAACACAATGATTCCTACTCAAAGGGTCATTAAATCCATTGTGTAGCATACACTGGAAATCATAGCAGATTTAATATGTCAATCTTCTCAGTTGTAGGATGATTGAAAAATAAATGTAATTCCCCATGTCTGGAGGCTTTTATTTTGGGTGCATTTTGGAGGAAACAGCACATAATCTGCACAAATACTGAATTGTGTTGCCTGTTGATAACACCTGTTTGATAGGATGATACTTTGACAGTCTGTTACCTCTCCTTACCTGCTGCACTTTAGTACTTTTCCAAAACCACCACCTCCACCTCATCTGTGCTCCCAGCTGCATCTCATCTGCAATCAAGCCTATAAGCCTCTCATGCTCTCACACTCACTGCCAGATTGTTCTTCACCCTTTCATGCAAGACTCTCCAGCATTTTGTTCTGGGCTGATTTCCCGTTGCCTATCTCTGACCTGCTTTTCTCGTCTGATTCCCCGTAAACCTGTAAAAGTTTTTGCATTTAACCTGGTTTCACGATTCCTCTACCTGTCCTCGAACAACAAGCCTGCTCCTTACTGGCCTGTCAGCGTGGACTTCTTATATATCTCTGCCCTGCTCTGTGCCAGCTGAGTTTTTTTAATGAAACATTATTACAAGCTGTTCCTGGTTTCCTGTGTGCTGCATTTGGGTTCAAACACTCCCTGTTACAGATACACTTCATAATGGCTGGTTTGACTGCACATAATCTACTGGATGCTTGCCAGCTTAAGCACGTTTTGTCCTGAGGAAGAGATTTGCTAATATGCAGCAAAAACAGCTTAATGATCCCTCCGTGCTGGAGAGAGAACACCCACTCTTAACATAAAGGACAAAATGTTTCAGTATCATTCACTGCATCAACAAAAATACCCAATGAAATACTCAGTAAGTGCTCATACAGTGGCTCCACACAGAGGAATATATTGGTGATTTCTAAAACCAACTCTTCTAAACTGGGACCGTCTCAGTTGCTATAGCAATGGTGGCAGATGACCACACACTGTCTTGAGAATTTATGTCTGGCACTGACAACATTTAGATGCATAGGCATCACACACACAAAGAGGTTTCTAAAGGGATACAGGTTTGCAGCTGCATAAAAACTGAGAAAATTCAGTATAAACAAGATCATTTTTAATGACTCCACTGTTCTGAGTGTTTGATGTCCTTGTGTGACTTCTCCTCTAACACATTCGTCCCACTTGACACATTTCTTTCTCTGCTATTCTCCCGCTCTCTTTTTTCCTTCTCATTCCCAGCGTTCCCGCTGTGATCTGACTCTATTTAGCATGATGCCTGAGTGTAGATCTGAGGAAGCGGGGAACTTCCCTTCTCAGTCAATCCCTGCTGAGAACACTATGCAAGTTTCCAACATCTTTAAACATTTTCAGCTGCATTTCCAGTGTCATGCTTGCAGCTATTTTTCCAAAATACATCAGGGACAGAGGAATAGTTAATGCTGCATACGAGGGTTTCGGAGTGATTCATCTGTAGGTGCAGAGGCAGGAAGCTGAAGTGACGCAGGAGGTTTTAATACTGTACAGTATGCTCCCTGTGGTGTTTGAGCTAAAATTACATTACTCTGCAGTCTGAGAAGAAGAAAACTTAAAAATATCTCTGTTCTTTGTTTACTATGCATTCAACCTCTAGAAGAATGCCTTGCCTGCACTTGTTTGCCCACTTACAGCTGAATTTCCTTTGAAGCAAACCACATCAGGCGGTTTATGTAAAGCATACACAGCAGCTGCATTTTTTTATTGTTCAGCAGCAAGACAGAACAGTTCAGTAATTACATGTCTGTGACATCTGTTTACACAAAGTCTGTGTATATGTGAAAGATATACAGTATTTGAAGTGTTACCAGGCAGAATTTGGAGGTTGTAGCTACAAGATGTTTGAGCTGACAGTCTCCGTCCAAAGTTACAAAGACATTTGAGAATGACCTTGTTTCATTTATATGTTCCTCAAAATGTTAAACAAATCAGCTCCACATGCTGCTAGACCATCTAAATGATTTATTTCCCGCCCTTTGATTCAGGTACACCGGCGAAGCAGCAAGGATATGTCAGATTCCTCTTTCTGGCAAACATTTCATGCTGAGATTTCGTCAAGATGAGAGAATGAGTGAGAGTTGGTTTAGGGAGGCTGGCACTTCTTTGGAAACGTTGTCATATTTGTCAGCGCTGTACATCACAGAAATAATGGTGACATGAGGACAGTGAATGGTTTCTCCGTCAGTCACACAGTCGCCTCATGTTACCGACATCAGCCCTTGCTGAGAGAGCATGACTGAAGAGGATTTAACACTTGGTCTCACGGAGAGAGCTGCATCCAGAGGGATCACTTTCCTAACCGTCCACGCTCCTGGACCACCTACTGAAGGCTTTACATCCAGACTCCTCCAGTCCTGGGAATCAATTTGGTTTAGTTGATGGTCTTTTGAAACCTGCAGCAAGAAAAAATCCAGTATTGCTGACACTTCAAAGGCTCTTATCAACGGAAATTGGCAGGGGAAACACATGTTCCTATTAAACCTATTGGTATTTAGCCATGGAACAAAGCTACATGATTATGAATTATCCTGAGAAATCTGATATTGTTTTCGGTATGATGAATCTTTATTGTTAAATGAAGTTGGAAATTGTCCTTGCATTACAGCAGATTTATTTGCAAAATCAACAATGACTCATATTTAACCAAGAAACAAGAGAACAGACGTTTAACATAACAAATTAGTTCAAGACCTTTTTAACATACATTGGATCTGGGATTGAACCCTCTATTTAATTTTCACTTAACTTGACTGGTGGACAAAAGAGTGCTTTATTCTAACCTTATTCAAACATGTGACTTTGTATCTCATATTTGATGGTTAAAATTGATATTCGCTGTTGAGGACATGGTTGAAGTCAGAGACAATTTTTGATGTCCAGCCTTTAATTGTCAAAATGGAAAGATTTTGTTCAGCCTCTTCTATCTTCATGGATCCAACACAATTAGGACTCTTACACTGACACTAGTCGGCTGTAGCCTTTAAGGCCAGGGAACAGGCTATCACAAAGGACAAGCTTCCACTTACTACACAAGCCCTGCGTGTCATGGCTGACCTTTCCGTCCTGTTGCATTGTCCGAGCTGATTAGCTTTTCTCCATGGCAGATACACAACAGCCTACTGCCACTGTATTAACTCTGTCTGATAACAACTTGAGCAAACTCCGACACAACAGGTGAGTATGAAGGGGCGTCGGGCTGATAACTGTTCTCATCTATAGTGCCATATTCGGGCTGCCCTTGAACTCATTGGAGGGCAGCAGATAACTCATATCTACAGATGTGTTAATTGGGGTTTCAGAAAAGAAGTCAGCATATTAAAATAGTCTGGAGGCTCGCTGGCAAACCAGTCCAAAGCCTCGGGAAATAACATGTGATTTAAGCTGACCTTCTTGTACAGTCTGGGGACCGTACAAAGCAGAGCTGAATTAGCCTTGCATACACAGGCAGAAAGAAATACCACCAAAGTAGTTCTAAACACACAGAGAAATATCCCGGAGCCATGATATGTGGTGCATCAATTTATTTATTTAACATATATGAACATTGTGTTTATTTTATTTTATTTTTTTGTTAAAGACACAGTACATTTAGTATTTACATGAGATTCTACAACAACACTTGCTGGCAGAAAACAGCTTGATCATAGGATCAGGATAAACCGGGCAAAGGGAGGCTAGTCTAGTCTAAAGCTTCAGTATAATAATGAAATAATTTGACACCCCATTATTAAACTTGACAATCCTGTCATAACAGTCCATGAGAAACAGTCTTGCACATTGCAACAACTGATAGTAGTCTAATAATCCTAATAGTATGATGTTTAACAAAGCCACAGCTGCTCACATCAAATCACTGTGACACGGGCTATATGTAATGACAAGTCATGTAATGTGACATGTTATGAAGCGTTGTATTATGATAAGTCATGTGATGTTGAGTCATATAATGTTTTGTCCTGTCATGATGCTTTGTGATATGATTCCTTAGGGTCAAATATGCCTTAAGATGAGTCATGCTATAATACTTAATGTTACAATACGTCATGTTATGATACGTCATGTTTTCATGTGTCATGGTATGATCTGTCATGTTAGGATTTCTCATGTTAGGATTTCTCATGTTATATTACGTCAAGTCATGATGCGTCAAGTCGTGATGCATCAAGTCATGGTGCATCACGTTATAATGCTTGATGTTATGACTCATGTTATGGTATGCAATGTTGCACTCAGTATTGTTAAGTTGCATTATGTTGAATTGCATTACTTTTATATTAGTTTTTTACCGTCCATCTAGTCTCTGTCTTTGTCTACTATGTAGATTCTACATCACACTGAGCAGGGCTAATTCACATCTCTCCTCAATGGACTGATGGATTACCTTTTGATAGATCCCATGGGGCCTCTCTGCACACAATACATCCCTTTGACCAGTCTTCAGCCTCAATCAGGTCTCCTTTGCAGAATCAAGAGTAAGTATGGAAAGAGACAAGGGACTGATGGGGACTATCAAAAGCTTCGATTTAGCCTGATGAGGCTGGGTAAAGACTGTGGTGATAAAACGCAGGATAATGTAGTCTGCAGAAATGTGTCATCCAGTATAATAAGCTAAGCAGCAGTCATGAGAAGCGGTGGGTGACTTGGAGGCAGGTTGGCGACCAGTTGTTTCATTTGGGCTAAGTTAGACTCGGTTTTCAAGAAGAGGAGAGAAGGGGAACCAGATGAGAACCAGCACTGTCACTATAGCGACAGAGCTGATCATGGAAGGAGTGTAAAATGAAGACCAGCACACACAAATATGAACACACACACACACACACACACACACACACACACACACACACACACACACACACACACACACACACACACACACACACACACACACAAACACACTAGTAAACTATAACTCATTCCAAGCCAAACAGATAATGGTACGCGTTGAAGCATTCACATTAATCTTACACTGCTTTTTAAAAGCTTTTATCAATATCAGGATCTTCTCTTTGGAAGCTGAAGCTGGTCAGGCTTAATCATCAGCTCCCAGAAAAATTCAGACGTGACACAGAGGTCATCCATCCAGACAATAAACACCTGGGCTCTGCTGTTCGAGTGATACTTTTGGATGAATTCCCAGAGAGAGGCAGGAGAATAAGAAATAATGCCAACATAACAGGTGCAACAACATATTCTGCGCAGTTAGGATTGTGTGATAATGTCGCATCTTGATAATCAAATATTGGAACACCTTTTGTAGTGTTGGGAAATTAATTTGCCACTTCTCAAAGCAGCCTTTCTGTATCTTTAACCGATTGAATGAAGAAGAACAAGCTATTAATTGACAAGCGTGGAGCATGATGATTTTACACAGGAAATGAATGTTGCTCATGATGATAGGAACATTAGTGGTGTCTATTCACCAATTTGTGTGGCAGATCTCTAAAAGAAAACATGATGAAACAAACACAAAAACAATAAAAGAGCAGCTGCTGCTACCATGTTCAACATTGTGATAGGCTCTTGATCATATTTCTATATATTTAATTTGTTGTCATATACTGTACATTCTGTCTTATTTTGTTGCTACATACAGTGCATTGCCCCCAACATTAAAAGTAAAACCCTAAAACATCTTAATCTGTCATAGAAAATTAGTAGTGCTACATAGTTGAACTACCTGATAACACGGTGTACTCCTAGACATATCAAAAATATTTACAATACATAGTGGTAGTTTTCACTAAGAGTTCCCCCTCTTTAGAAAATTCTTGTGCTTGAACATTTGAAACACACACACACACCCAAATAAACACAGCAGGTAAAAAAGAAATAATAAAAACACATTTCTTCTCCCCGTCTTTGTTCACCTCCTTTTCACTCAGAAAATGCTCGGTCCCTGTAGCCTATTTTTTTACATTGAATTGAATCTCACTGGGAGCAGTGCACAAGTGGCAAAGATGTGTTTTTCAGCCAGTCAATCTATTCCCATTAATAATAAAACAGAAAGTGACCCACTGAGGTGTCCTGAGGTGATGCCTATCTCTAGTCTAGACACGGACATAAAAAAACATCTCATACAAACTGCTACATATAGGTTTTTTTCTATTTTTAACACTTTTACCTTGAAAAAAAGAAACATTTTATGCATTGGGAATTGGAAGAAAATCTGAGAAATGGCAGTCGAATGAAGTTGCGTAGATTAGCCTCAGATCACCGGCCTCTAACATAACGTCATCCACAGATCATTTTGGCCTCCCTGGAGCTTGTACCTTGAGATAAATAAAGACCAGTAAAGAGACATGGAGGGATGAGTGAGAAAGAAAGTATCTAATCATTGAATCATTAGCACCACCACAGTGTATGGACAGAAAACACAAAAGTCTTGATGGCAGATTGAGCTGCTGAGAGGAGCAACACCGGCGGACTCTTAAACCGCTTCTCAGCTCGGGAAGAAGAGTCTTTGGTCACAAATCAAACCTAAACGGCATGTGCCAGGGATAAGCTGTCCAAGTGTGTACCGCTGATTGATGATGTCCATTTCCACAAGCGGGGATGTGATCCTGAGCTTCTCTTTCATGGTTAAAGTACCTCTCCTTTTTCAATGAAGTCTCAGTGGCTGTCATTAACACCTCTTCACAGCTTGTTATTACTGTGAGGAGCCAGCGAGTGTCCACTGCTAACATTTGTGTGGTCACACACAGATTTCAATGGCAGTTGCCATCACCATCTGGCTTTTGTTCTTGTCTCGGCCTGGCGACTGGTGTCCAGACTCCTCTCTGGGAGACAGCGGATCAGACAGGACGCTGCGTTTGAGCGGTGCTGGGCGGAGGCAGATTGTTCCAGGGGGGGTGGAGGGCTCAGGGTGTCTGTGGGAGGACCGTGATGAGGTGTTGGACGAGGACGGAGTGCAACTGCCAGTGCAAACTCCTGAGCTTGACCTCTCGCCTCTCTTGGCTCGGCAGGATGCTCTTCTCCTGAGCTCGCTCACCAGCTCGTACTTGACAAAGCAGAAGACGTCCTTGACTCCACAGCGTTTTTCTGGCTCAGCAGCGAGCAGGCGCTGAAACATGCGCAAGGCATCATCCGTGAAGCGGCGCCACTGAGACGGGTACGTCCCCACAGGACACCCTGCTTTCTGCCAGCGCCGGAACTCCTCGTAGAAAGCGTCAGCCGGCAACGCGGCCTCCCAGGGGAAGTTGCCTGTCAGCATACAGAAGACGAGCACACCGAACGCCCACACATCCAGACTGGTGGTGACAAGGAAACCCTCAACACGGCTAGCGCGGCACACCTCTGGTGCCGTGTAGGGGATGGTGCCACTCACTCTTTTCACTCGGCTCCCCACGCGCCGGGTCATGCCGAAGTCAGCCAGCTTGATGCGACGGCACTCACGGTCAAATAGGAGCACATTCTCAGGTTTCACATCTCTATGCACCAGGTTTTTACTGTGCATAAAGTCCAGGGCCAAACCCAGCTGTTGCATGCAGCGCTTGACCATCTCTTCCGGCAGACCAGCCTGAGAGAAGAAGAGAGTGGAGGGAAGGAGAAAGTGTTGGAGAAAAACATAGATTTAGATTCATGCAGTCCAATAGATAATATATACAGCTGTGTAGGAGGTAAGATACGGGAGGCAATATCTGTCAAAAGGTGCGTAGGTTAGAGTTCAAAAGAGTAGGTGATGATTATATTGAGTTAAAGAATAAAAGATCATGGTAAAAACTGAAAAGCTCAAAAAAGGGAAACTCAAACACACGTTTTGAACCATTTTTAATGAGTCTTTATAAGAACCTTGAAGTCCTCCAAGCACAGGAACTGAAATAGCACTAAAGCAAAGAGAGACCCCTGTGCAGTGAGGAAACCGGGACAAAGACAAGGCTCCAATCCCAGGAGAGCTTGTTAAAACTGCTGTGTGTGAACAAGGCGGGTGATTGGAGCAGCTCTGGCTGAGTGAGGATGGTGATTGGTGGAAGAAAGGATGATAGCTTTACCTGTGGGGGGATGATGTCGAAAAGGTCCCCAGCGGGCGCATATTCTTGTCCAAACACATAGCTGTCCTCCGTCTCGAAGAGCACGTCCAGGATTTTGATAATGAAAGGGCTGCAGCTTAGAGAGCCCGTTAGACTGTACTCCCGCAGGAAACTCTTGAGCTTCGTTTTGTTCTTGGTAACAAACTTCAGCGCTATCTTGGTCCCTATAAAAAAAATATAAACATATAGATGGTCACATTTAAGCTCTGGTGTACTAAAGTCCAATGTAAATGCTAGCAGAGTGCTATTAAATTATGCATATCGATCAGTGAAAACTGTTAGACATGGAGGGCATGACGCAGATATTTAATGGCTTAAAGAATAGCCAGCGCTAAATGTCCATTACAACCCCTCCCGGCAAGTTTCATTTGTAATAGAGTGGGGCACACCAAGTCATAAAACTCGTAAATAACTTAGCATTTCATTACTTCCGGTTCCCTTGTGTCAAAGTCAGTGTTTTTTTGAACATGTGGTTAGAAGCCTGAAATAAGGTCTGTGGTTAAACCAGCCTAAGGGATTTTAACGTTTTGTTATATATATCAGTAAATACCCCACTCGTGCATGTCTGAAGCTTCTATGTGTCAAAACTCAGAAAGTAGTGTTATTACGTGGAGATTATCTTGCTGAACTAAACATGTTAAATATCATGAATGTGTGTGTGACCCCTTTGCAATGCTAACTTCTGGGTCGGCCTACAAACATCATCACTGCACCACTCTATTCATCTACTACTCAAAAAGGAACACAGCCTCTGTCTCTCTCTACCTACGCCAATGGATTTAACTGACTAATCAGACAGGGATGAAATAAAGAAAGGCGACAACCATGAATAAGTCGATTTTGAACTAGGCCATACATGTGCTGCTGGTAGAAGCGAGACACAGCCTCATCACCAACAATTTTCTATCGTTTTCCACCAAATCACAAACTAAAATACAATCAAGAACTCCTTCTAAATGGGCCTGGTGGTATAGGCAGGGCATGTCCCTGTCCAAAGCATCGTAAGGGAATTTGGAAGTGTTACCTGACACTGTCAGGGAGTGGAGAGATTTCCAATCACCCAACCCTATCTTTGCAGCAGCTGCTAGAGCACATTCATTCATATAAACAAGTAAAGTGAATGAATCATATTCCCATTACACACATACAACCAGCTGTTCCTGATCACAGCTGCAGAAAAACAGAAGCTTTTGAGAGCGCTCAAAATATCTACTGCCCCCTCAGCCCCTCTTCACTATTAAAGAGCTGAGCCTCACCGCTTTCAGCTCTCTAACCTTGATTTTCTTACAACCAAGGATTAAACATTAGACCTAAAAGAAAATCCTTTACAAAACCTTTTTACTGCCGCGACTTGATCTGCCTTAGCCAGTTATCTTCATACAGGCACTGCTTTCCAAAATGATATTTTGTTTTTGTACATTAAGAACAGTGGTGTAAAGTAACAAAGTACTGTACTTAATTCAAATGTTGAGACACTTGTACTTACATTTTTCGCTACATTGTACTTCTACCCCACTATTCAGCGGCAAAACGTGTACTTTTACTCCACTACATTTATTTAATACCTTTAGTTACTTTTGATGATTTAAATTATATTTTAGATTTATATTTAATTTTTAGTAAACTCACAAGCTACCCTGCAGTAATACTGCAGTGCAGTATACAAAGTAAATAAACATGCTCAACCTTTACCAGCTTTGATAAACACATTAATGCATAGATAATTATAAATAAAACCTATAATACATTATTCTGAAATGGGCTAATTTGCATAATGAGTACTTTTGGCACTTCACGTATATTTTGATTCCTGTCTGACTTGAGTAACATTTTGAATGCAGGACTTTTACCTGTAACAGAGTATTCCTACACTCTGGTACTTCTACTTTTACTCAAGTACAAGATCTGAGTCCCGTTTCCACCACTGATTAAGACCCTCTAATAAAGCAAGGAAACAGATAACTCACCCTGTGTCCGGTGTGCCACCAGGTCCACCTTTCCGTACGTCCCCTTCCCCAGTTCGCGGATGTGCTCATACTGTTTGGCTACATCTGCTGCCGACAGAGAGGTGATGGCCAGGGCCTGCATGTCCTCCACTGGCACCCCCCCGCAGTAGCCCATCTTGGAGGTAGGTGAGCCCCCACCGCTGCCCACCCGTCCCGGCCCAGATGGAGAAAGAGACAGGCACGCCTTGACGCTGTGGGGCAGACTAAATGAAGAGGAAAAAACATGGCTCAGAGTCAGATTCTCTTCTGCTATGATGGTGGCAGGCGATGTAAATGTTATTCAGGATTGTGTTTATTACAAATCACTATTTTCTATTTTTGTCGGCATGCATCCATGTGTCTGCACGTTGTCTCCCAAAGGGTGGTTAAATCAGGGAGGCTTTAACAGAGCTTAATTTCCATACAATCAATCAAAGATGGCATCAACAGGGGAACTGCTTTCAGTAAATGCATTGGACTCTCTGCTGTCCCTCCAGATTACTCTGGCCAGCTTTCAGATATAGCCGGTCTCAGACAGCACTTACTGGCAGACAGCTATGGGAAAATCAATATGGCCAGGTAGAGGGACTAACAAATGGAAAAATATGGAAAGGGCTGACAGTTTCAAGGCAAACATGCACTGGTAAGGCGTGCCCCAGATCATCATATTCATACGTTTACAATTTCCAACAGCAGAAACAATCACTGGTGCTTTCAGAAAATAGGTTGTTTAGCCTAGAAAACACATTTGGTTTGCACAGTAGGTGTTTTGGTGGAAATGCTGAAGAGGGGGAAAAAAGAAAAAACACTGCAAAAGAAAAGTTATCGCTGATTTTTCAAAAGTGCCAAGTTTCAAATAGGTCAAACTGATCCTAGGAGGGGGGAAATACAGCTGCTTTAATTGCAAGCTCAGATGGAGTCAGACTGGCACCAAATGAACCAACTGACAACAAATAAAAAATCAGAGATCAGTGACTGTGCAGGTAAGCTTCATTTGCGGTGATTGAGCAAACGGAAAAAAAAAATTAAACAAACGAAATGGACCCTTTTGAGTAAATGAAGTGCATCACACTAATGATCTTACCCATTGTCTCTCGTCAATTCCCACAAACACACAATCAAATGCAATCATCCAATCATGCAAATCACGCACACCGTATACGACGCACACTAATAGGCATCGAATCAGCACAAACAATTTCACTGATGGCGTTTTTCATCCATCATTCAAAGGAAAATGCTTTGTTCTTGTTTCCCTGCAGCCCGTTTCTCAGCATCACTGCTTCAGACAAGAGCAACCCAAACATGTTGACTGGCAGGAGCGTTTTAGGTAGAAAAAGGCTGAATTAATGTACGGTAACTAATGTGTGGATGATAAAAACATGGTTATTTTCTGAACTTGTCGACTTTCCTCAGCTATACGGTTGGACGAGGGTGATAGATAGAGCTATTAGACGGAAAAAACGAAAATAGGATGCAACCATTTTTAGCCCTTCTTGGCTCATCACTACTTTGTCCACTGGAAATAGAAAGTGCCTTGTGTGTTTCTCTGTAGATAACTTGATGTTATCACGGCCGGGGAGATGCTTATGTAAAGGACTATGAATATTGTAGCCTACTCAATCTCAGCGTGCCCACTGTGTAGCCTCCAGCGAGTCAACACACAATTTGATCATTATCAGGATGAGTTTGTGGTCAATGTTTGGAGATTAAACATTTAAACAGGACAGAGGGGCGGACTTGAAGTACATTTCCTGGAAGCACGTTTCCTATGCCTATAGCTGAAACGTTGACTTTAAATAAATGTTTTATGTTAACAGATTTCACATAACTGTATTAGGTTATTTAAAAAGCAATAATATTAAGTTTAAATACAAAACAATTAGGTTCAACTTAATATTATTGCTTTCAACTAACCCAATACAGTTATGTGAAATGTGTTGCCAAAATACATTTAATTCAAATCAACCTTTCAGTTTGAAACTTCAAGAGTGAATGGAGTGCTGGATCTTAATCACATTACTCAGCTCCCACAAAGACAAAAGCAACCCCCCCC